AATGATGTAGTTTCCTGACATCCAGACTGAACAGCGTTTTCTCAACATGTTTCCGTGTTGTTGCTGCTCAGCAATGGCATGGACGCGATGTTGTCTGGGGGTTTGGCAAACGGAGAGTGGGACGGTGGGCAGTGCTCGGGGTGGTGACTGAAGGCGGTGACCGAGTAGTTCTGACGGCACCTTTTTACGGAAGTCACAACGGTTCGTGAAAAATCACAGCTACTTTATGCAGGCTGTGTGCATTTGACTGTGGATTGACTGTTTTGAAACTTATATGGTAGTTACATAGCACCTAGACCTCAGTTATCATGAAAAAAGGAAATTTCAGTTTTGACAATATGGAATCTTTAATTTAATTTAAAAAGTAATTTATTGCTGTGGTGGCAAAGCTGAATTTTCAGAAGACATTATCCCAGCTTTCAGTCAAAATAACAGCATTTATTTAAAATATATCTTTTGTAACATTATAAATGTCTTTACTGCAACATTTAATGCATCCTTACTGAATGCAAGTATTAATTTCCTTCAAACAAAAATCTTACTGATCCTAAACTTTTGAACAGTAGTGTATAACATATAGCACCTTTAAAACTCAGCATAATTAACAACTAAATCTTATCTAAATCTCAGTTATTTTCATAATTACATTTCGTGTTTCACCACACATCCAACTGGTTTCATCAGCTGAAGTAATGTCAAAAGGAAAAGTTCAAGTCTAATTTCTTCGGATTCTAAAATTCTGCATCCCGTAATGTTTTAATCATGACGCTTCTCCGAGCATCAGGTGAGTCAACACTCTTGTGTAAACAGTAGACGACAATGCCTGGAATTGTGGACATCTAAGGAACACACTCAGATCACCAAATTGGTCTGCCTCCAAGCCATTATACTCCTAATGGTTTGGAGCTTTTGATGAGTTTAGTGTTGAAACTTTCTCAGCATTTGTACTGCACAGGTTAGTGAGTGATTGTTTACATATGCCGCTCAGCCAAACAGCTGTTATTAGGTGGATGTTGATAGCAGCTTTTATTTAATTTTCATTTACTGGCTTGGTAGGGAGGAACACCATTAAAATTACAGATTTTTTGATGAACTGCTGCTTTTCTAATGCACTATTCAACCAGCACCATGGCAGAAGATGACAGTTTTCTAAAGCTGGCTATTGACGTGCTAAATTATTAACTAGTGGTTTTTGATGCATTTAAGGAAGGAAGGCATTCTTTTTACAGTTGTTTTGGAAAGCACTAATGAAGCAGGTGGTGTAACGGTTATGAACGATTGTTTTTACATTAACTGTACATACTGTAGGCTAAAGCAGAATTGCTTTCCTAACCTTCTGTTTGACCACAGGATACACACACACACACACACACACCAGTTGCTTTACACCGCAGTTGTGTCTCACCTGTCGCTCACCCCAGCTTTGACAAAAACACGTTATGATGGGAAATCATTACCATCAGACTGAGTGGGCTCACTTGCCCCACTGGCTTCTCAAAAATGAGCCTTATACGGGAACGTACACTATCCCTTTCCCAAATCTGATCTTTCTGTAACATCCCAGACCAGACCAGTTTAGATAAGCAAAACCTAAAAAGATGGTCCAGGTTGGTTTATGTTTATCAGTGCGTCTCTTGCAGGTTAAGAAACCTGGTGAACACCAGCATCCAGAACCCAAAATGTGTGACCAGTAAAGGCCTGTTCAAACCAAAGATAGTAGCTATAACTATGAAGTTTTAATAACCATTATTAAATTATATGAGAATAGAGAACTCCATAACAATAACGACACAGAGGAATGACTTTGTGTGATTGGGCCTCAATGCTCCTGTTTAACAATTAAACTCTAAATCATCTCACATTCCTGTCATCCTTCCCAGCTCTTCTTCACCTATGCCCCACTGTCATCTTTGCAGTTTGTCTAGTTTCTAAGCCGTGACATTTTGTAACTATTCTTGGGTTTCCCGTGACAGAGAGTGACAACAAACCATGGCAGCTTGGCTTAATAATCATAAAATCTCCTGTTCAAACATTTGCCCTTGTCTCATCATCAGTTTGGCCTTTATCCCAACTAGCCGTGGTTTGAGCTGATCCTGTGACCGCTGCCCTGGAGTGCAGGGACTGACAGGAGGGTCAGGAGGAACGTGGAGTGAGGAGAGTGTATGGAGACTTACCCAGCCAGCTCCTGTTCAAATACACTGACACAAACACAGGCGGTACGGTGAAGAAGTCCACCACTGAGTTCACCTCCAACCAGAACCACAGCTTATCATTGGCTGCTATGAACTGGAAGAAGATGAAAAGAAAAAATATAAATATTACATAATTTTAAAGGGCAGGGCTCCAGACTAACATTTGAGAGCAGTGGCACCAGCGCCACTAAGTTCTACAGATGGTGGAGCAGATTTGGTTGCGCTGGGGGTGGTGTGCGGGAGTATTAAAATATAGATCATTTAATCATAAAATTACTATTGTTTTGCATTAATAAGTGCAGTTACTAATAATATTACATGTTCATTTCTTGTAACGAATTCAAATGCTTCTCACTGGATCTCGCAGCACTGTTGCATCTGTGCAGTAACAGTGTCGCAAAAATCAACTTTGGCTCCCGAGTAAAGCTGTTCTGAGCTCGGGCAAGTTTGTTTGCATCGCGGTGCGAGCTGATGAACGGTCTGCGCTGCGCAGCTGAAAGTAGCGCGGTTTAGTTTCGCTTTCGTTTCGTTTGCCGTTTGATGTTTCTCAAATGCAACAGAAATGGCAGCGCTTATGAGTTGGACAACGCGGTGGTCGCAGTCTGGAGCCCTGAAGGGGATCACATTTTAGTAAGAAGAATGAACAATTAAGATGAATGAACATTAGAATGAACAATTAGTAGTCAAACATTAACAGTTTTGGGGCCAAAACACAATATTGAGTGTACAGAATGTGGTAAAAAGATGTTAAATATGAAAGTTAAATATATGTACTTACGCGCAGGCCAAAGTAGAGTAAGAAGAACACGTTGAATGCCATGTCAATTTGCAACGTGAAGTCTTTGTAGAAATTCTGACAAGATTCTATAGGACTATGGAGAAAGAAAAAGAAATAAATGTTAATTTAATTGAAAACAAATTCATTTGTTTGGCCTGAAAATATTGTCAATATGCAATCTTAATCTTAATGGTCCTAAAACAGGCTTAATTTTCTTCATGCAAAATACTTTTTTTCCTTTTCTTCTGATTTTAAAGTGACATTTAACCTAGGCATTTTTTTTGTGTGAGATGCACCCTATAACACATTATATAAATATGCATATATGGTATAAAACCCACCCTTATCAAACTTGCCTTTTTGGAGATTTTACTTTTCTGCACCAATTTCTGGGCTATATATTTAAATATACTAATGTCTTATATAGCCTACATAAAAGTCCACATGTAAAATACGATATTCATTTGCATTACAATTATATCCAAACCTCGCATACAATAATTTATTTACATAGTGTGTTATTTGTACATTTGGTTATATCTATATACATTGGTTCTGTACTCTAATTTCTGTATTAAATCTTATTTAATAACTCTTCTTGATGTTCATAATGTTTTGAATCAGTACACATTGAAAACACAAAATAGTTTATAACTGTTACAATTATTCACAGGAAAACAAATTAAAGTAATGAATGAATTATAATGCATTAAATACCATTTTAAAATATATCTCTCAATGAATCATAGCAAGTGTTCAAAACAGGTCTAATATTTCTCCCTTTGGTATGAGACGACAGTCACGACATCAGGAAAAGTCGACTGCATGCTTGAGGACCGTCTTAAAGCGCCAGGTGTCTTTATCCATTAGTAAAAATCTTAAAATACATAAAACCATTGCTGAATTATTTAATACATCTGGGATGGTTAAATCAAGTTTTGAATGATTCAATTAATTAAAAGGCTTAATTTCATAATAAGCCAGAAGCCTTTGAGCTGAGGTTAATGTGGTGACATTGTCATTGATCTCGTGTAGGAAGTTATTTAGAGACCAGCCCTTGAATTGACCAGACATAAATAATACAAAACTAAAGACGAAACGGGTGAAATAAGGCAACAGAAGCCCATAATGCAAGTTTAACTAGCTGCTTTCGGCCTTAATGGTCAGGAAGAGCTTTCTATCAAGTTACAATTAGCCGTGTCTCAAAATGCACGACCGTCAACATGTGTACACTGTGAAACATAAAGCATCTGATCCTTGAGCTCAATGTCACTTCACACTCCGCAATTACAAGAGATCTCCTGCCATGTGGCATCCATGCAGAAAGTATCCCTGCTCAGAAATCTTTAACAGCTTCCTCCTTAAGCCACCTTAAGGCCTCAATGTCATTCTCCAGCAAGATCCTTGACTGCCTCGGCCTTCAGACAACACTTTTCCAGGCCCTTATAGAGTTGTGAGCTGCTATGAGGTCAGCAGAGAGCATGCTATGCCAACTAATAATGGGGTAAACAGCGCTCAGGTCACACTGAGCTTTTAACTTACACTAGGTGGCCTCAGCTCCTAATCGAGCGCCTGTGGAGGACGTACAGCAATGTCAGTGCGCACAGATCTATGCCGCCCTGAGGGACATTCGCACTGGGCTATTTCTGGCCCGTTATGTTCCTTCTTCATCATCTTTTACAAAGAAGTGCCACTGTGGCACTCATTCATAAAGGGCACAGAAATGAATGTGTATCCTGAAAACCGCACTGGGATGGTTGTCCCATGTGTTTATGGGCCCAAACATCCTATTATGTGATAAACAATCAACCTCATTAATAGCTATCAGCACACTAGAGCTCTGCCTAAGTCAAGACACTACAAAAATACAGAAAAATACATTTTTTTTATGCACTTGTTAATCGAGATTTTGCGCTAATTGGCTTTTCATAACTATTTTCTTTTTTTTTTTTCAGACTACTGGAATATTTTTCTGAGTCAGAAATCTACACTTGCACCCAAAATTAAAATTACAGTTTTATTCCTATCTATATTCTGAAGATTTTGTCTTCATATTTCATTTCTCTAATTTTAAAAATTTTACATTTTACTCCTAAAACTGTTTTTTTTTTTTTTATGAATTTATTATTATTATTATTATTATTATTTTGGCTGTTGATAGTATTTTCTGATTTATGGAGTGATAATGACTTTTGATAATTAAAAATCCCTTCTGTAAAACCCATTTGAAAAAGTCAACAAAATGAAACAAGAACCTAGCTTTTTCCAATGCTCAGATTTTTGTTCTGGATATGTATGCAAATGAGTACATGTTTAATCAGCTAATGCCTTATTTGCATATTCAAACATAACATTTCAGAAAACTTAATACAAAGATGTTTGCAATTATTAATGTAATAAAACAATTGAGGAAGCATGGTGATTTATATATATATATATATATATATATGATGAATTATTGATAAGCCGTATTCCAGTACTGGTGATGGGCATTCCATTTCCGACATGCGCTGTGTATGCAGTAGACCAATCACAACAGACTGGGTCATGGGACCAATCAAAGCAGAGTAACATTATACAAAGGAGGGGTTTGGAAAGATGGATATTTGAACAAATCGTTTGAGAGTCGTTGAGAAATAACGTAAAATCAGATGCATATTATAAGAAAATTTAAGTGTTTTTTGACCTTGCATGCACCAAACTATAAACATTTCAAATAGCATAGGGGCACTTTCATACAACAGTGACTGATTTAGGCCAAGGCACCATTTCTAAAATAAGAGTGATTTAGCACGTGCAAGGGCACCGGACAGCTAAAACCTCAGTCGGTGGTCTAAAAATAGCCTTTCTGTTTTAATTCCTCCCTGAGGTGCTCTCTGCATGTGATTCTAAAAGAAGAAAACACGCAAAGCAATGCCCCTGTGCTTTCCTCCTCTTAATGAAAACAGGAGGAAGTGAAAGCTCTAAGCAGAGAAGACGAGAGACTAAAATTTGTTTACGAGCTGTGGTTGATATTTGCAGCGATAGTCATGGCAGCGTGTTCAAACAATCCTCTGTTCAAGCTTGAGCAATGCACAGAGGACTAGCTAATCTTCATAGATGCATGCTGAATATTTTTAAGAATTTCCATCCGGTTCTATCAAATACAAATAAACACAAAGCAAACGGCACTGCAAAGCCAGCCTCCCACATACGTAACTCAATTCGCACCAAAACGAATGGCAAGATAAAGAGAGGCATGTGAATTGAAACAGCATCTCTTATCTGTTTATTGATTAAGCCCCCTCAAAAAGAGGTCATGCTGGACTGAGCTTTTTAAACTGCTTCCCTGCCCTCTATGAGAACTCAGTGTGATTACCTCTGGAAAACACAGACCCCATCAAAACTTTTCTCTCAGTGATGATAAGACCCTATTACTGCAAAAAGCTGCAGAGTCAGAAGTGTGGCCTCCTCAGCAGAGACAGAGAGCTTGACGAATCTTTTAGTAATTTTCTTCTTAATGGCAGGACAGAGAAATATAGCTCAAATAACTATTCAAAAACGAAATAATTATATTATAATAATAAATTATTTTATTTATCTTTTATTTCAAAAGGTATTTAATTTTTTTTTAGAAACAACAAATTATACATATAAATATTAAACATAAAACATTATATACATCAAAATGGTTGAAATGTATTATATAAAATATAAATATAGAATAAAAAAAAACCCATCTATGAACTTTTTGATCAATAAATCTATATATATATGATGAATTATTGATAAGCCGTATTCCAGTACTGGTGATGGGCATTCCATTTCCGACATGCGCTGTGTATGCAGTAGACCAATCACAACAGACTGGGTCATGGGACCAATCAAAGCAGAGTAACATTATACAAAGGAGGGGTTTGGAAAGATGGATATTTGAACAAATCGTTTGAGAGTCGTTGAGAAATAACGTAAAATCAGATGCATATTATAAGAAAATTTAAGTGTTTTTTGACCTTGCATGCACCAAACTATAAACATTTCAAATAGCATAGGGGCACTTTCATACAACAGTGACTGATTTAGGCCAAGGCACCATTTCTAAAATAAGAGTGATTTAGCACCTACAAGGGACAGCCCTCTGTCGGAGGTCTAAAAATATCCTTTCTGTTTTAATTCTTCCCTGAGGTGCTCTCTGCATGTGCTTCTAAAAGAAGAAAATACACAAAGCAATGCCCCTGTGTTTTCTTCCTCTTAATGAAAACAGGAGGAAGTGAAAGCTCTAAGCAGAGAAGACGAGAGACTAAAATTTGTTTACGAGCTGTGGTTGATATTTGCAGCGATAGTCATGGCAGCGTGTTCAAACAATCCTCTGTTCAAGCTTGAGCAATGCACAGAGGACTAGCTAATCTTCATAGATGCATGCTGAATATTTTTAAGAATTTCCATCCGGTTCTATCAAATACAAATAAACACAAAGCAAACGGCACTGCAAAGCCAGCCTCCCACATACGTAACTCAATTCGCACCAAAACGAATGGCAAGATAAAGAGAGGCATGTGAATTGAAACAGCATCTCTTATCTGTTTATTGATTAAGCCCCCTCAAAAAGAGGTCATGCTGGACTGAGCTTTTTAAACTGCTTCCCTGCCCTCTATGAGAACTCAGTGTGATTACCTCTGGAAAACACAGACCCCATCAAAACTTTTCTCTCAGTGATGATAAGACCCTATTACTGCAAAAAGCTGCAGAGTCAGAAGTGTGGCCTCCTCAGCAGAGACAGAGAGCTTGACGAATCTTTTAGTAATTTTCTTCTTAATGGCAGGACAGAGAAATATAGCTCAAATAACTATTCAAAAACGAAATAATTATATTATAATAATAAATTATTTTATTTTTCTTTTATTTCAAAAGGTATTTAATTTTTTTTTAGAAACAACAAATTATACATATAAATATTAAACATAAAACATTATATACATCAAAATGGTTGAAATGTATTATATAAAATATAAATATAGAATAAAAAAAAACCCATCTATGAACTTTTTGATCAATAAATCAAATCACTGAATCGGAGCCATGAAATGATTCACAGAACTGATTCAAATCCTCAGG